AAATATTTAAAGGGCATGTAAGACATTAAATCCAGTTTCCTTGAATATGAATGATCATAAAGGAAAATTTGACATTTAACAAATGCTTTCTTCTTCCACCTCAGAACCTGGCATCTACATTGCCCACAGTGCAACTCAACTGTCAACAGTTTGGGGACAGTCTTGCGTGTGTTACGCTGGTAGCAGCTAATATATGACCTCAGTCCACTAGCTTCAAGCAGAGGTGAGTAGCTATGTTGCAGAGACCTGGTAAGCTCACTACTTTTCCACAACCCCATATTTTTCTTACTTAACCTTTTGAGATTTGTAGAGTTTACACAACTTCTTTTGACACATGCAGTTCTACTCTAAGACCTGTAAGAATACTTGATTTCAGCTAAAGCACTTTGACACATGAATTTGGTTTCTGACGCAGCCCAAGCGTGTCGGTATTCTCAGGTGTCACAGAGCCTAGCACAGGTTGCAAAACTCATCTATATCTGACTGAATCCAGCATGTTGTCCCATTTTGGCTTTAGGCCTCCCAGTGTTGAACACCAATAAATGTGTTTGTGTGTCTGCAGGACTGGGTTTTGAGAAGGGTATAGTGGGAGGCTTAGAAAACATTGTTTTTGTGGGCGCTTGCTGACATGCAATGGGAAGGATTCTCAGACAGGGTTATGCAAGATGTTAGTCATCATCACATGATTCATCTCTTGGTTCACTCTCTCTCTTGTCTCCTTTGTTCTCTTGCTCCTCGGCCCACATTTAAACTCCGTTTCTGTTTCATATCGCTTTCCCAGTGGGTGCACAGGAAGTGACCTGGAATAAGACACTTCTTCACTTTATACAGTCATTGGGAAAAATCAGTCAGGCCCAAGCAAAAAGTAAGAGGAGTTAAGTCAGAAATGTTCTTTGAAATTGCATCCAAGTTGCAAGGATGTCAGTAGCCTACTACTGAGGATGGAAGCTTAAGGCTTAGGGTTAGGTAATATGACTTATAAATTATATGACTAACATGTAACCGGCACAGCACAGCGGCACGGTGGTTAGCGCTGTCACCTCACAGCAAGAAGGTTCTGGGTTCTGGGTTCACCGATAAGATCAGCAATATAACACTATGGGGGCTGTTGCCATACAGAATAAGCGCTGTAATCCTAATGTGCAGGGATGCATCATGCATGCAAGTGCTTGTGTGTGTCTATTAAGGAATGGATGTTTCTGGTTGCATTTTATTGTGACAATAGCAGCAGTTTGTGACCACAGCCCTATCCCACACCCGCTTCCCACCATGAGCACCACTATCTTTAAATTCATCACTCAATTTCTTGGGTGTTTTGGGGGGAGGGGGCATAGCTGAGCCAATGGTGAGGTCATGGGATAGTTTCAGTGCTCATTCAGGAAAACAGCAGCTGGATGAAAGAAGTGGGAGGGAGAAAGAGAGCCTGGGTGGGAGAAAGCATGCCATCATCCAAGAAAATGTATTTGTGCTCATTCAGAAAAACTGGCATTGATAGAGAGAAATAGGAAATACGAGTGAGAAGAAGGGTGGGTTAAAGGCACGCCTGTCCTGTTACTTCTATTGCTGAGGTACAGTGAAGTGAAGTTTACTCTGACCCATTCATTAAAGCTCATACCTGTGTAAACTGGGTTAGTCCAACACACTGTGGCCAAGACATTTCTGTTGATCACTGGCTTGGTAAAACACACAAACTATTTTTTGTCCTAGTTTTTTATCCTAGTTTTTGTCACTTACCAGGGTTCTGCATTGGTTTCCAGGAGACCAATGCTAACTTGTCTAAGTGAACCTCCATAAATGTTGTACCATTAGAGGACTAGTCTTACCTAAGTGTTAATTAGGAACATCTCATTACTCTGTCCCTATATTTACTTGATTGAGAAGGAAATGGAAGTTGCACTGCCCATTTTCTGTGCATATCTGCTATTTGAATAAATAAAGGTTAACAGGAGTTGAGCATTACTCCCTGCCAAATTAAGTTAATATTTTGGCCTCACTGTGTGTTTTTTAAGATCCTAGATTCCCTAGTCATTTGGGACATTACTCCAGTCATCCAACATCAGGAAATTTCTTTTTTATAGATGGCTCAATTCTCTGAGGATCTACAGTACCACCTGTACAAGTCCTGGGGGTCTCTGTGTAGGACTACCTCAGATAATCTTCCACTGCAGGGAGATGTAATGATCTCAAGGGGTTTTGGTTACAGATTAGGATTTACCATGCTCATCTACTGAATGTACCTTTGTGACCCATGATCTATGCATTAATGGGGCATATGTTTGCTTTCAGAGGGAATACAAAGGACTTAGACAAACAGGGAATTTGTTTACACTGGGATAATCAGCACCTCTAAGTAAATTGGGTAAATGTGTTGTGGAACTGGATTTTCTTATCTACATATTTTGCTTTTCTATGTGCACTCAGCAGTGTAGTCTGTGTTTAGTAACAGACTATTAGGTTGTCTTAAAATATACCGCCATCTTGTGGATAAATATGAATTTACACCCTTTACCAGTATTGTCAGTAAATAAAGGAATAGCATATTATCATATTTGTTGGTGACATTATTAATCTCTCCCTCACACACATGCATGCACACTTTTATATTCAATCTTCTCTGTTGCATTTGAGTACATAAAAACAGTCTTAAGAAGATAAAGTACGTTTAAGGAGCTCAAAATTTTACATAAATACAGAGAATTATAATGTTTCTCCTGTCAACAAAATATGTTGGTTGGGTGACTACACTATGTAACGTGTTATTGTGTGCAGTGGGCTAATAGTCACGATACATACAGCAGCAGAACAACGTGAAGTGTTTTTACAAGGCTAGGTAACACTAAAAGCTTAATGACAAGCTCTTTGCTCCATTCTGAAGTCCTCACATCATGTATGAGCTAAAAGTTAACTTACAATGGGGCATGATGGTCACAGAGCTGACTCAAAGGATTTCATAACAGCAATTTTTATTTCTGAATGTTCTACAGGCAGGGTAACATCCTCAATTATTATAAGTCTCCCTCAGGACTCTAGTAAATATGCCCACACTTTGGACTTAGTCTTCTTAGATGGATGAAAAATCTCCTGAGAGTAGTCACTGCATTCCACTATGTTTTCACTGACTCAAACAAACCCACACTGCATACTGCGTGTGTGCGTGAGATCCTCTAGCCAACTAAAACCTGGGAAGTGTTTAACCCTTCATATGTGATAACAAGGTGATCCTTATAGTACAGATAAACTATAGTAACTTAAACTATAAAATAGCCAAGAGTCAAACACCAAAGGCTGATCCACTGAAACATTACACAGTGATGTGTATTCCCAAAATGTCTTAAATCTAGTGTTTTGATAGCCACTGAAACATTACACAGTGATGTGTAATCCCAAAATGTCTTAAATCTAGAGTTTTAATATGAGAAGGCCAGCTGAAAAGGTATGTCTACAGGTATGTGCCAAAAAATTAGAATATCGAGGGAAAGTCCATTTATTTCAATAATTTGTTTCAAAAAGTGAAACTTGTATGTTATATTAGTTCACTACACACAAAGTGAAATATTTCAAGCCTTTATTTGTTTCAATTTTGATGATTATGGATTAAAGACAAAAAAAACCC